TGTTCACATTCGTTCTGATAAGTCAGGGAATGCTATTCTGGTCCTGGGCACCCCCTCATCTCCTGCTTTCAGCTGCAGCTGAGCTCTGGGTTATATAATGGCACCCCAAATTGACCCAGTAACAGGACTCACGTGAACTATTTTAATCATGACATATTTAAAATGATTTCAACAGAAATTACCAACATCTCTGCAGGGATTGCTGAGTGAACCTAAAGTACTAAAAGGGCACCAAAAACTTGTCTATTTCTAAGCTTAACGCCAGCTGGAGAACACTGCAGATTTCTTTGCACATAGCAGATCTCGTTGGCACCACTGACAAGCCAATAAGCATAATGAGAGAGACAGGGCTACTACATCACAAAAATCAGAATCTGACAGCTCTCACCACCTCATCAATGGAACAATTAGTCAACATAGAGAGAAAAATAAGCTAAAAATCCTAATCCTTCACATTAAACTTGGAGCTTGCCTTTTCACAATTGATTAGCTGAAAAACCTCAAGAAAGGCTTTACAAAGTTTCAATCACGCAAATCGTTAGTTTAATTAAGCATTGAACTTGGCTGGAAAGAGGTAGGTCAAGTGGTGATGGCAGTTCAGAATGATACTGTACATACATCAAACACTGTTTCAAGCTGTTCCCTCAGTAGCCCTCTGTCGAAGAGGATTACAGAAATTTTAGAACTTAAAAGTGCATCAGGTTACTCTGAAATAAGAAAAATGTTTAAAAAATACATTTGCAATGCTCTTGAATTATTTTAAAAATATTTCCATTTTCACGATTGTGCATCATTATACTGCTACACAAATACTGTTTTGCGCATTTACAGTGTTGTAAAATACAGAACTACATAAACCTAATGCTTGGCAAGCAAGGCCAACTTTAATTACTATCAGGTTTCCTGAAGTGAGTCAATACCAGGAAGGTTGCTTGAGGTGAGGAAACTATTACTGCAGTGTGCGCTAATCACTTTTTATAGCTAAATTCCTGGACTTTATTCTGCATAATGGAAACACGGAGAAAATTTGCTGTACTTTCTTCAATAAGTGATCAAACAACACAGGGGGGTCTCATCTGAGACACAAAGGTATAGAAAAAAACAACAAAACCTCTTAAAGAGGAATTCTCAAGCACTGTTCCCTGTAGAGAAATTAGGATTTCTTTTCTATGTGCATTCTTTCAGCAAATATTAGGTTAAGAAACAAACGGTGTGCTGAAACAGCTGCAACCACTTCTGTTGGAAGGTTCTCAAGAAGGCAGGAGTCGCACTGTCTGAACTATAATATGGATTTACTGTATAACCATGATTCGTGGAAACCACCAAAGGACAGGATCACAAAAGCATATAGGTGAGAACCTTAACAGCCTTTGATAACGAGATGTTAAAAAATGCAGACAAGACTATGGATGCGGCTTTTAAAACTTTTAAAAAGTTAACTTGTTTTAATCATATGGGGCGACTCTCCCCTCCCTTTACACTTCTAACTACATTAATTGACAGGTACCTGGGTACTAAAAATGCTACCAAAAACACAACTTCCTAACAAAAGGAAACAAATGAACTTTTCTATCTTCTTGGCCTGCACATGAACCAGATGGGACACCACCACGCTGTTGATGTTAATAAAGTTTAAGGATAGCTTCATGCAATTAAAATCCCATAGCAGTTTGATTCCCATAAGGATCTTGTTACCTTCCTATTAAACTTTAATAACTCAGAGCCCTCCACAGTCAGCACCAAGCCACGAAATCGTCGAGATCCTATAACACCGACTCGTGCTTCTGCTGTCTAAACATATGCAATAACTTGCTACTCCACACGCTGAAACCTACCTATATGCAGACAGAGTCTTGGTGACTGTATCTGAACTTCACTTTCTAGAGTGGGCAACAGTTAAATCACATCTGCAATCTGAAAGATAATTTGCTGTATGAAATCTGGCCAAACACAACAGCGACCTCTGAAACAAAAAAATAATTGTTCCCATTTCTTTGTTCCTTTGTCAAGCAACCAATATTTTTAAAGACATTTTTAATGTGAAAAGCTAAAGATGTTCATTTGTTACTGTTTCAAATCAGTTACATAAAAAGAGGGGACAACTGAGTATATCACTATTTAAATAATTTCAGTAGTCCCAGGAAATGAAGAGAACCTCATGCACAGGGAAACATCAGGTTCTTAATGTTCTAATATGTACAGTATAGGACTTCCGATATGCACTGATACATTGCTGCAAGAATGATGTACTGCATCCTGGGATATTGCAGGAATTCTTTAGAGAAATGTTCTCTTTGACTCCTCAACTGCAATTACATGTCCTCTATTTTGATCTGAAACCATCCTTATGGATGTGAACAAAACCAATTAAGACATCCAGGTCACAAATGAACTGCAATGACCCCCTTAAAATTCTCAGGGATTAACATGCAAACAACACATCGAGTTCAAAACTTCATTGTTAGAGCCAATTCATACAGCTGTCAGTCACAGCTGACCGTGGTTAAAAGGCAAAAAGGACGTTTGGATCAGAGATTCTGAAGAGTCAGGTTCTCAGACAAGCACTTGTGATGTAAAACAAAACGTCCTTGAATTATGCAGCATATTTTTGGAAAACAGCACTTTAGGCTAAACCACGAACAGACACAATGTCATGTGATAAATCCATGACCGTGGGTACTTATTCCCAAGAATGCCAAAACATGATCAAAGCGGCAGTAGGTTTGGTACAGGATTAATGTTTTGACTTGATAGAAAAAAAAAAGTTTTTCAGAATTAAAGTCGGTTTTATACTGGTTATGTAAAAAAGACCTCAAGAATCAATAGCACGTGATCTAACCTTGGTCACTGCAGATTGAGCAGGATTTAAATGTTTCAGGAGTAAAATCTGAAAAGGGCAAAGCGGTTTAATGTGGGCTTGGGCGGGTTGCTTTGTAAACAGTGGCAAAGAAACAGATCAGAGCCTAGCTACACTCTCACCCGAGGAGCTGAGATAACTACTGCCTCGTCCTATCATCTTTAAAGAGTGGCACACCTGACACTCAGAGTTATCCTAATCGATTTGGAAAGGCATGCGTGCACAAATAACCTATGGTTTCGGTTGAAGTGGCGTCTCTTACTGCCCAAGCGGTCCTGGCACTTATTGCTCATGCTTTAATTCCATCGGTTTAATTTTCAGTCGCTTTAGATTTTGCTGCAGATTCAAAAGTGAGAGTGAAGTAGTCCTGTTTTGACCCAGGGTATGAATTCGCTTGCTGTTCCACCCTGCCCTGAAGCTCTGCACAGGAAGGGATACTTCTGCTCTAACAGTCATTGCCTTGTTAAATCAAAATGCCTGCAACAATGGATTTCTTCACCTCCTGAACCGGCTTCACATGGAAACGGATTAGTGAAGTCAAGTTCCATTACCCTCAAGTGATGATCTCACCGAGATTCCCATAGAAGCCTCCGTGTGGACATGTCCAGTAAGACTAGCAAATAACCAAGGGGGAACCAAAACAATTCTGGCATAACACATAGCCCAACACATTCAGAGACCAGCTTTCATTGCAATGTGCTCCTTAACAGCAGGGACATCTTAAGCCATGTCCAATACTGGCTGATATTTCAGGATCCAGGGAAAGATTGTTTTGTTTTAGAAATCTAAAAGCAATAAGAGTTTTTTTAATAGGTTTATGAGTTAAACGATTATCAAATTATAATGAAAAGAAGTTCTTGCACTGACAATAAAAAACAAAACTTTTAAAAGCAGCAGCAATTTATGGATGTCTCTTTCAAAGTTCACGCAGAGTGTGAGTATTCGAAACTCTTAAAGACCCAGACAAAGTCAACCCAGAAGATTTCTTCTGAAATCAGTGAAAGGAGTGGAAAGTGAAAGTGCATTAAAACTAAGATCAGGAGGTACTTCTGGGGAGCTGGAACAAGTTACCCAGCCGTGCCGTTGAAGCCGATACCCTGGTTTCATTCAAGAAATGGCTGGATGAGATCCTGGGATCAATTAACTACCACAAAGGCCGGTTCTATTATTAACGAACATCCACATAAAATCAAGGAGAGGATAGAAAACACAAACTCCAAAGACAATAAGGTGTGAACTCTATTACTGTATGTTTTATACTGAAATAAAAATGCCCTTTGATCCTATATTGATTCAAAAACTATTGAGGATCCTGGAACTGAGAAAGTAGGAGTCTACAGCACTTGTTCTGATGCCCTTTGTTTGTAAATGAGCTTCAGAATTACAGAAAAACCTATTTCAATGCTGTATGATTAAGACCCACAAGAGGACAGCAATTATAGTTAAAGTGAACTGTTTATTGTCTATTTTCTGTCTTCTAATAAAAAGCTCCTTTAAAATTGCATAAAAACAGTTTCAAGTTTATTCACCTTCATGGAATGAGATACTGAGCAACCATACCATTTAAAAAATATCCTAAAATAAGAAATCATCTTTGTAACCCCAATTAATTCAAAGATCGTAGCTGTTTCAGAATCAATATTACAAAATCAATCATAAGTGCTTTAAACATACCAAGACCACAAATCTGTTAAAAACTGTAAATGTCCTGTAAATGTGTGAAAGGCAATACTGTGTTCAACTGTGGCATTTAAAGGCTGCAACCAAAAACAATTCTGTTTTTTGTGATTAACAGTTCTGATTGGAAAATAATAAAAAAAAACATGTAACAAAAAAGCGTTCTTCTCCCTTCCCTCACAGGCTGATAAAATTCACAGAATTAAGGCAGGTCTGCATGGATAAATTATCTTTCTTAAGCCAGTATCTCTGCTTTAAACATTATTCTGATTTAGCTCACCATTAACATTTTCCAAATTCCTAGGTTTATCCATGTCAAAACGTGAAGCTTCAGGAGTTTTTATGACCATATAAAAGGATGCTTCTTTTACTACACAGGGAAATACATACAAAATCATTTTTCCTACTTCTTTTCTAAAGAGAAATATTTTGGTCTGTTTAACACTAAACGACAACCTACAGAAAATAAGTTTAAATTTTTAATAGGGGGTATAATTTTGCTTTAGGGTTTTAAAGATCCAACACGGCAGGACTTACCATAAATTAAAAAGAAAAGGAGGCGATCACAAGAAACAATATTTAATATCCAGTTTATCAAGTATAAGGATACTGAAACACAACGTAGTGCCTCGATCTCCCCTATAAATACGATTAATTTCCTTGCAGTTTCTTCATGATAAGGCTCTCCGGAGGTGCGTTGGTGAACAGACTCCCCACAAATGCGTGTGTACCCCAAAGAGTGTGACGAATGACTTTGCAGCACCCTAGGTCCTCAATTTGGAACCCTAAATGACGGTACCGTTCGTCAGTTTCAAACAGTACATTGTTTGTGTAAGATCCAAAATACTGCAAAAGACAGAAACGAAAAGGTTTATGTACACCAGGAAATCCACTTTTCACCCAGCAAGAGGCCTCAGATAAGAAATAAACAACAAGCAATAAAGACAAGCATCTTTGTTCTTTCATCTGGGTTTTCTGTTACAGACAATGTCATTTCAGATCCAAATGAAGCCCTGGAAAGATTAAGGCATCTTTTCAAGGCAAAGTTCTACAAAACCTTCCCAGATAACACTTAACGCCAGACTCAGTACAACATTATCTAAACAGGGCTAAATCCCCTGAAGTGTTTATTGACCACCATTAAAAATGGCGTTAATCTTGCACTGGAAGAGAAGCCCAACGAGATACTTACTGCCAGCCCAGAAGAGGGATCTATGAAGTCTGCCCAGTACCCCGCTGTCTGGAGAGCATAGCAGATCTCTTTGGCACCACTGACAAACTGTTGAGCACAAGAACAGAGACAGAGGGTGATTTACAAAAATCCGAATCTGACAGCCCTACAGAGGGCTAGTCAAACTACAGAGGAAAAATTCCTAATCCTTCACATTTTATGTTAACACTATGTCTTCATGATGCAATTCAATGATGATGCCTGCTTCAAAAGTTCAAAATAAAAAAAAAAACAAAACAACTAAAATTACTTTTAAGCAACAAACTGCAATTAATACTGGAGTCTCTCTCTTTTAAAATAAAAGATGTGAGAATACATGAGTCCAGTACAGCACGAGACTCATTTCACAGTACCCACACGGTAAAGAAAAGTCCAGCAGGCCACTTCACTGAGCTCACAGAGGTCAACCCCCAACAATAAACAGAGAGACGCGATTCAACATGACAGGGGGTGAGTCTTGAAATAAAGACAGTTAACATGCAATTAGACCCCATTACACCAACGATGCCAAGCAGACTGTGAATAATGCCAGCAAGTCTGAGCACACAGTTCACTTTCAAGGCTCATTTACACCGTCCTTCCATTAGTGAGTGACTTCAGAATGTTTCAGCCGTACTCGTGGGGACCTGCAAGTCTCCTGGCAAGGTCACCTTTATTACACAAACCCCCAGCCTGGGCAACACCTTGTGGAAAATATTAAAAGAAAAATGAATCAAAAGAGAAACTAAGGGGCTGAAAAGACAAGACGTCTCAAGAATGAGCTGAAGGAGCCAGACCAACAGGGGTCAAGCTTCCCACCAACCCTTGGAGGCATTAAGAAGTGCCGGATCTCCCAATCTGCTGGTGCACAGCAACCGAGAAGTGTGCTTGAAAGTACTTCAGCACATCTAAAACTCCGCAGTGGGGTCGTGTGCCAGCTCCCGGGGGGCAGCTCCTCTCCTCGGCCACCCCGAGGGGCAGCTGGCAGCTCCTCTCCTCGGCCACCCCGAGGGGCAGCTGGCAGCTCCTCTCCTCGGCCGCCCCGGGGCCTCACCTTCTCGAGCAGCGTCTCTCTCTCCACCTGCACCGCCTCCGACCACGCCGTCATGTCCTGCTGCGTCTTCTGCGTCACAGTCACCACGGTCTGTGTCCCGGCCGGCGCCTCCGGGAACATCGCCTCGACATCTGGAAGCAGCGATGCAAAGGAAAGGCTCAAGCAACAGACAGGGCAGCGCCGCTCAGGACGCGCGCCAGTCGGACACTGTGGGAAGCCATGCCCCCTTGTGGCCGGCAAGTAAACTGCATTTAAATGACAAGCAGGTGAAAATGGGACAGATTCAACAGGCCAGGCATGTTGCTTCCTGCTCTGGCCTGAGAACAGTAGGACTTGTATGCCAAAGCCCTGCTATTGGCCTGCTGAGCACATACATTATATTTAAAATGATTTCAACAGAAATTACCGACATCTCTGCAGGGATTGCTGAGTGAACCTAAAGTACTAAAAGGGCACCAAATACTTGTCTATTTCTAAGCTTAATGCCAGACGGGGAACATTGCAGATTTCTTTGCACATAGCAGATCTCGTTGGCACCACTGACAAGCCAATAAGCATAATGAGAGAGACAGGGCTACTACATCACAAAAATCAGAATCTGACAGCTCTCACCACCTCATCAATGGAACAAATAGTCAACATAGAGAGAAAAATAAGCTATAAATCCTAATCCTTCACATTTTATAGTACAATATACATTCATGACGCAATTCAGTGATGACACCTTTTACAAATGCCTGCGCTCCAGTGTTCAGCCAGTTCAAGACAAAGCCCTGATGCCAGCAGGTGTCCTGAAGCGATCGGCTTTACCTTTCTTCAGCAGCACGGGGCAGGTCTGTATTGCACATTCAACGTTTGACATCTCAAAGTACTTCTCGGCTTTGTTGACCTGTTCAGAGGTAGGGGCGACTTCTTTTTCCTAAGAGATTCAACACAATCCCAGCGAACGCAGAAGAAAAATATTGTCAATAATCAAACAGCACTGGTTTTCAAGATCCATAATTTTCATAATGTCAAACAATACATTGATCATATCAGTCATTATTTCACATAAAACCAATGACTAAAACGCATAGTCTTCTATCATTAATGCAGAAGATCACAATAACATTAAAACTCTCGTCTAAGGCAGGGTTAACCCTCTGCCCTGTGTTAAGAGCATGGAAGCAATTACACACCAGAGGCCATTCAGCCCCTCTAGACCATTGGGTATTTGGTAACACACTAATCCAAGGATCGTATCCGGCTGTTTCTTCTTAAATGGCAAGGTAACTTGTTCCATACTCCCGCTAACCTTTGGTAAAGAAAAGGCCCCCTGTTGCCAGTTTTAGCTGCACCTCCATGTGTTTTCCATTAATAGGGAGTTTCTAAATCTATTCCTGAGCTCTCCTACACTCCAATGTGGAGTATTTACCTGCTGCTCTGTGAATATCCCTCAAGCAGGGGATCTGGTAAATAAAGTAGTTCAGAACTGTGAATAATCACCCAGTAGCTCTCAAGCTCACTGTTCCGCTCTGTTTCTGAACAGAAGCACTTAATTGACAAAACTGATCGAAACCCACATGCTCCAAGCCTTTATGAACTGATGAGCAGAGGGTGACCTATTAAGATCCGCTGTACTGAGACTCTCCATGACCTGTGTCCACCCCAACCTCCCCAACCCTGCCAAGCACCCCAACCTCTATCATTCCTGTCTTCTCACTTTAATCCTAACACTTGAGCACAGGGATATCTTGGGAGAAGACCGGAAACCGAGAAACCGATACACTGGACTTTGAATAAAATTTACTTCCCATCTCACTCTTATTTATCAATCAGACAGGGCTTGGGAGCCTCTTTCAGTCCCATCAATCACACACAAGACAGAGTAATCTCAGCATCTCTGCAGCCATCAGCCGAAGCATGGTGTGAAGAATTCATGTGAGCGGTGAGAGAATGAACAGTCTCCAACACCACTGGGCCCTCCTGTAGGAACATGCAAACTAAACTGCAGACACGAGAAACGACATCGGCAACACGACTTTACCTGATGTTCGCTGACGAACTGGGCCAGTATAAACTCGTGCCGCTCGCTGCTTGAGGGAGCAGATAAAACGTCTGGCACAGGCCGGTGCACCGGTGTTTGCTTCTGATCAGCAGTGCCCTCCAGGTGGCAGCCGAACCCCACATTCCCCGGCAGCTGGAATCGCTGATCCTGGGGTCCAAATGGGCCCATTTTCTCATCCGGCCAAACCGTTCTGAGCCCTGGCACACACAAGAGACCGTCCACTTACAATAACAGCACTCGAGCCGACATTCACTTCAGTTTGCTCTGTTTCACGCCCGTCGACAACCTCCACAGCTAGTGGAGTTCAGTCAACATTCAACGCTGAACTTTGAAAACCGAACTGCTACAGTATGTATAAATCATGCCACCGTGTGAATTAGTGTGCCTGCAATCTCATTCAGCGCAAACAGAAGGTATGTAACTGCGTGTGGGATACTCTGGAGTTTTAAACCTCAAGGGCCCCACACTGCTTTCAAAGCTTCAACAGGACAACCTTTTTACTGCAGCACCTCAGAATGAGCAGCAGTCTAGTATCACCTTAATATAACAGCAATGCTCTCTTCCCAGGGGCACATTTTAATAGCACGGCACCGTGCTCATCTTACCTATGTCAAGGGGAGTAATGGCAACATAGGGCTCATCAGAGCCTGACGACCCCGCAGCAGAGAAACATCTGGCTCCTGCGATCCTCCTTACTAGAATGTGAAGCCCTGGCAGGTAGGTCACCAGCCTAGCTCTCTTACAGAGCACCTGAGAACAACACAGCGTCACGACACAGCACAACTCGGAACGCCACACGCGAAGCATCGGTTTCAGATAATACAGCTGCGGTCCGGCTGAATATTCGCGCCGCAGAGGGGAGATGTCACACAGACAGAATAAAGCTGGAATACTTACACTGGCCATCCTAGAAGGGCGTTTCCCTGAACCTTCCACCTGAAAGCAGCAGAAGGGGGAGAGTTCAAACCTCATCGTGACGAACCGTCCAGGAGGCTCTGGTCTCCACGGTTTCGCCGCGCTCCAACTTCAAAACAGGCCGGGGAGCCTTAAAGCACTTCTGGACAAACGAGCTGGAAGCCCGACGACGCTTCTCTCGGTTGCGTCAGGAGAAGGAGGAGATACTCTACCGACTGTAAACTGTCTGAGCTCCCGGTCACAGCTGCAGAGATTCACTGCCAGACTCCCAGGCCCGGGGTAACCGGAACATGGGTTTTAATCATTTATCACGGGGATCTTTATCAATGGGAATTTACACTGTAAATAATCGAAGGATAATAGGCGGTTGACAAACCAAACACACAACGTGGAGCGGCATAAACCAAGCCGAAACCTGTTAATTTCTTCACAACATGATGTTCCCCATGCATTATTTCAAAACAAGGATGAAGCGTGGGCTGCACAAATTCAAGTGCACAGGGACACAGGCTCCGGCAGAGGCTGAACCGATCGGTACAGCAGTGTATTTTACCGCACGCACACTAATCAACCTCAAGATAAATAGTAATATTAGTAATATTAGTAATACAAGACATCGAGAAGAGACGCTGTTATGAAACATGACAACTTGTGTTATTTTGGATGCCTCATCTCAGAACAACCCCATGCACAGCAGAACCGCTGTCACACCAAAGGCGTTTCAGTTTGGTTTATTGATCAGCTTTCGTCTACCCTTTCACGTACCTGTAAGTTTCTGTTTTGACCTGGACGCTTATCGGAACATCACTCTGCCTCCTGTCCGCACGCAGCCTCAACGTCACGCATGACATCACTCACCTCTTGCGTGCCTACGGCGCGCCCTTTAGGACACACCGCGCTGGTAGTCTTTCTACGAAAACGCGATAGAAAGAATTTTACCTTTACAAACCTTATGCGACACGTATACATAAAATAGCTTGAAAAATATTGTTAACGAGATGTGGTTTAATTTGAAAACTCCAAATAATAAAGGTTTTCTTCCTTTCGACAAATTGCGTACTTTTCACTGGGAAATATGTTGTGCTAACCGTTAAATCCACCAGGTGACACTAAAACCCCATCAGTGAAGAGGCTTGATCTACCAGCGACTGCGAAATTAGTGCCTTCAGAGACTTCAGACAACAATTCAAGGTCTGACAACATAAGCAAAAACTGACGAGCCTTTCTAAGCATAAAATAGTTGCATAACTCTTTTGCTACTTAGTGGTATTACTTCAGACAACAATTCAAGGTCTGACAACATAAGCAAAAACTGATGAGCCTTTCTAAGCATAAAATAGTTGCATAACTCTTGCTACTTAGTGGTATTACTTTTCTGGGAAATACGTTTTGCACGTAATACGTTGTTGTAATACGTTTCCATACAGTACATGTCCACTCCCGTTTGTTTTGTCATGCAAGTGGTTTGCGAAAAAAGTGGGTTTATTGGGAGAATTTTGATCACGTTTCATTGTTGCGTATTCCGACTATTTTCTTCTTTGTGTGTGTGTGTGCCGCAAAGTGCAAACACCTCTCCCTTGCTCTAAAACCGGGTCCTGGGACAGGCAGAGGCCCGAGTTGAACTATTTTTGTGTTGAAGTTATTTAGGCTGGTAATGAGGAGAGTGTGATCATATGCGTTTTCCACGTTTCTGAACTTTCACTCCATCGATCCAAGAGAACCCCCTGAGAAAATGGCCGCAGCAAAGCCCGTGTTGACAACACTACACACTCGCTCATCTTTGTTGCTAGATTCCACTGTGTGCTCTGAAGTGTAACGTTTACATGATTTCACCTATTGTTGTCTCGTCTCAAAAAAAATTACAGCTTCATTTTCCAGGCTTTGCAGCGCAGTGTCTTTTTGAGCTCAAAAGTAGAAATACTCTCCTACTGTAAACACGGTGGAAGGCATCAGGTAGTGACACCTTTAGCTGGTTTGGAATCCTGATTCTGCATCACTTTCTCGCAGTACAAACCAGATTGTATTGTCTTTCCCCTACAAAACTGTAGGACTAATGTGAAAGAAATACAAAACGCCTGAGCTTTATATTTTTGTAGTTTCTTAGTACTAGAAGCCGTCAGGATCCCCGCCTTCCATTGTTAACTATATTTATGTATTGGAATCAGTATTCCTTCCAGATCTTTAATTCAGTAAAATACACATAGCTGCCCTGCCATAATCCTTCGGAATCAAATCCAGGTCCCCCGAGAGCATTTACTGATGTTGCTGTTGCACAAGCTGCAGTGAAAGGGAACAGAGTGTTTTTAAAGGCTCATGTTTTCCCACAGCTGGGAAAGGTGTCTGGAGTTTCGATGTGATCTGTTGGTCCCCGCAGCTCACTATGTATCAGTGACACCAGCCTAGGAAACCCATAGGGATTTCTGTAAATGTAGCATTACGTATTCATATGGTGTAACTATGGGAGAAAAATAAAAAAGTCTCACAATTTGGCACTCTGCAGCAAACAGGCAGCTGAGTGACGCCTTCTTTATGTGAAAAATTATTGGCACTACCCTAAGGGTCCTGCACGTACATTTCTACATTTGCAGCGAGTGACAAATGAGGTGCCATCTGGCAATATCAACCCACCATAGAAAACAGAGAGGGGTGTCTCGAAGAACTGGGCTCTGATCTTGACCAAGGACGCTGGAAGTCACAGGATCTGTGCAACAGCAGTCATATGCAGCCAGAAAACAAATTTTGCTTCCAAGACCACTAATGTAATGTAATAATCTGCAGTCTTATGCTCCTTTCCTTGAAAAGACGGATTTATTGTGAATTAAAAGGGGTTAGAGCTTCCAGAAAAAAAGAATTTTGGAAAACGTGCATTTATTTATAGCTTCTAGCACGTGACATTGTTTTCTTGTAGACAACAGGCAGATGTCCTCTAAACTAGGACGGTTAAATGCAATTTCATCCATCCATCAATTTTCGAACCACTTTATCCAATTTAGGATCATGGGGGAAATGGGTGCAAGGAGGGGTTCACCCTGGACAGGACGCCAGTCCATCGCAGGGCACACACAGACACACACACAGACAAGCACAGACACACACACAGTCTCACAGATACACACACAGACACACACCCTGGACAGGACGCCAGTCCATCGCAGGGCACACACAGACACACACACAGTCTCACAGATACACACACAGACAAACACCCTGGACAGGACGCCAGTCCATCGCAGGGCACACGCAGATACACACACAGAGAAGCAACCCTCGCACTTTTCCCAGAAGCCATTTAACCTACCTGCGTGTCTTTGGACTGTGGGAGGAAACTGGAGGGCCCAGAGAAAACCCACACAAACATGTGAAGACCATACAAACTCCATGGAGACAGCACCCCAGCTCCAGAACTGAACCCAGGTTCCCAGTACTGAGAGGCAGCAGTGCTGATAAATGCACTTAATTGTTTTAAATGGAAATGAGCTACCTGTGGCTGTATTTGCATATTTCCATCTATTCATAAAAATACTTAAAATTGTACAGACATACAAATGCAACCTTTTAAATAATGTCTAAACTATTAATGTATATTTTAAATAGGCTAACTATATATCATTTAAATATAAACCACAATTAACACTGTGGAGTTTTTGTCCAGGGTTGTAATCTTCATTTTTTGTAAACGTAAGAAAATCAGTACAGATGTCAAAACAAACGAAAACACACAAAACAGACAGACAATTTCAAATAACATTTGAAAATTTTGGCGCTGTACGACATTTTACTCCAAGAAAAAAGGAACTCTTTGAGGTGCAAGTACAAGCTAAAAAATATCCCCTATCTAGCTGACTGAAGTGCAATACCAAAAAAATAAAAGATAATAAAGCATAAGAAGGTACTTATTGATTACTTAATCTCCTGGTATCCATCATTTTCTGAGTAATATTTGTATGGCTGGTGTGGTGTTTTATCCTTGCCATTTTTTACAAGGCAGTATACAGCCTTTGCAATTAAACCAAAATATTCTTACATCTGTAAGTGTGTGATGGCTATAAAATTGCGTGGATATTAGCGTCTTAGCCAATCAATTTATTTTTATCCAAAAGCAGTTAAAAGAGCTGCAAATGAAATAAAGAAAGAAATCTCTTTGATTATTTATCTTACTGATTTTGTGTTTATGCCAGAATAAAGGTTTCTAATAAACCAGCGCACTGAGAACCATTTGCATTAACGATGAAATCTGTCCAAATCTACAGTGCACACACACCAAACCAGAGTCTTGCAAAAGTCTTACTTCTGTCCGATAATGTTTCAATGATATTTAAATCAAAGAAAATGTAAACACATTTTTTAGAGTGAATATTTGTAATCAAAACTTGAATGTTCAAACTGAACACTTACTGTATATGTGAAAGACGTTTATTGTCAGCAAAAACTGCAAGATAAATGGACAAAAAATGTATATGGACATTGCTGTATCTGCACAGTATGAGTGAGGATGGAAATTGATTTCAGTCACCCAGGGTAGTTTCACGCCACATGCAAAGGTAACAGTTTACAGGGTTAAGGAGAAACTCTTGTTTTTCTGGTTACCACACTGTCCTGAAGCACTGTCCTTTGTCTGACTCTTCCCCAGTAGGATTTAAATTCCAAATCCACTGTTCTAGTTCTACAACAGGGGCCGCTGCCAGACTCCTGCGGGCCCTGTGGATCAGCGAGGATCAGTGTGCGGTTCATGGGGTCTCATCTTTGCCGCTCAGCTCCCTGGGGTCCCTCGGCCCAAACTCAGCCTCTCGAGGCAACACCAGGACTTCCACTCAGCTGGGTTTCGGGGCAAGACCAGTTCTGGATTTCAGTGCGGGGCTGGCGAAGGAGGGTGCTGAAAGGCAGAGTCGGGCTGATGGTGAACCTCCGGTGCTTCAGTCGTGTGTTATTCCTGTCCCACTTGGCGCGCTCTCTCTCTCTCTCCTGCGCTGCAGACAAAGCAAAGCAGGGCTCAACGCAGACTTCTCCCCTGGCTCTCAAGAACCTCTTGCTGCGACCTTGCTGCAGGCGATAGACGAACACAGCACGTTACAGGTGGTACTGCAGCATTTGACATTGTTGGGTCAAGCTCAAACCACACGTTTCCATGTGTCTCAACGACAAATCGACAATATTTGCCAGGCAATACTGAGGCTGCCCTGTTCTAAATCAGAGGCCTCTGATAATTCCAACTTTAACAAGAAACAAAACAGAAAATTGTGATTCATTACTTTATTCGTTTTAATTTATTTATTTGTCATTTTAGCCGTTTTCACGGTTAATTTGGCAGCTTAGTACGTGAGGTCAGGAAGTGGTTCTTTAACGCAATCAAAAATGATTATTTTTGTATTTATGTGTTACATTTTACTTTGTGGTTGGTAAAGGCTCCAGTAGTCTGATACGAACTAAAACGACCCCGACGTTGGAGAGAGAGGAGAATGAGTTAAAAACAATTTTTTGGCCTCGAGGATTTCTGACTTGAGAGAAGCCATGGCTCCAGCCAGCGTGTTTTATTGCTCTTCTGTCGAGCTGCGCAGTGAGCAGTGCTGGGAATCAGCACTTTTCACTGCTGTTTTTCTTATTCTTTAAAGGCTTTCCATTCTGTGGCCAGAGAACATTCCAGAATACTCTAGAGATCCTGGAGCAGTGAGATCCGTTCCTGTTCATAAGCCACTAAATAAACTCATTCGTTCTTAAAAGCAGGCTCAAAAGGACATGTAGGGTTTTGTGTGTGGCTGCAAATTCAAAAATCCCCTTGTGTCAGGGAGACACTTTAAATATAACCTTCACAACAACACGAAGTCCCGGCCTTCTGCTCTAATGGCAGCACACACTGGCTTTCCGT